CCATGCCTCCCCTGTATCTCATTAACTGGCATATTGGTTTCCTTGGAAAGTGTTTAAATTCAAGACCCAATGTTTTTAGTTGTTTGCAATCTAATATAACAGAGGTAATTTCAAATATTTGAAAGGTCACTGCTTGGGGAGGACACCAACACCCAAAAAGTGTTCAAGTATTCAGTTTTTGAGATGAGACCATATACAGTGAGTGCTTTCAGAAGTTATCACACCCCTTGACTTTTCCCACACTTTGTTGTGTTATAGCCTGAATTTAAAATGGATTCAATTGAGATTTTTTTGTCACTGGCCTACACGCAATACCCCATAATGTCAAAGTGCAATTATGTTTAAAAATAAATAAATTACTAATTAATAAAAAAATGTCAACTAAAATGTCTTATGGGTATGCTTGTCAATAAGTATTCAACCCCTTTGTTATGGCAAGCATAAATTCATTTATGAGTAAAAATGTGCTTAACAAGCAACATAATAAGTTGCATGGACTCACTTTGTGTGCAATAATAGAGTTTACATGATTTTGTAATGACTACCTGATCTCTGTACCCCACACATACAATTATCTGTAAGGTCCCTCAGTCGAGCAGTGAATTTCAAACACAGATTCAACTTCAAAGACCAGGGAGGTTTTCCAATGCCTCACAAAGAAGTGCACTTATTGGTAGAGGGGTAAAAATTCAAAAATGAGACATTGAATATCCATTTGAGCATGGTGAAGTTATTAATTTCACTTTGGATGGTGTATCAATACACCCAGTCACTACAAAGACACAGGTGTCCTTCCTAACTCATTTTGCCAGAGAGGAAGGAAACCACGCAGCGATTTCACAATGAGGCCAATGGTGACTTTAAAACAGTTACAGAGTTTAATGACCATGATAGGAGAACACTGAGTATGGATCAACAACATTGTACACTGCTCAAAAAAATAAAGGGAACACTTAAACAACACAATGTAACTCCAAGTCAATCACAATTCTGTGAAATCAAACTGTCCACTTAGGAAGCAACACTGATTGACAATAAATTTCACATGCTGTTGTGCAAATGGAATAGACAACAGGTGGAAATGATAGGCAATTAGCAAGACACCCCCAATAAAGGACTGGTTTTGCAGGTAGTGACCACAGACCACTTCTCAGTTCCTATGCTTCCTGGCTGATGTTTTGGTCACTTTTGAATGCTGGCGGTGCTTTCACTCTAGTGGTAGCATGAGACGGAGTCTACAACCCACACAAGTGGCTCAGGTAGTGCAGCTCATCCAGGATGGCACATCAATGCGAGCTGTGGCAAGAAGGTTTGCTGTGTCTGTCAGCGTAGTGTCCAGAGCATGGAGGCGCTACCAGGAGACAGGCCAGTACATCAGGAGACGTGGAGGAGGCCGTAGGAGGGCAACAACCCAGCAGCAGGACTGCTACCTCCGCCTTTGTACAAGGAGGAGCAGGAGGAGCACTGCCAGAGCCCTGCAAAATGACCTCCAGCAGGCCACAAATGTGCATGTGTCTGCTCAAACGGTCAGAAACAGACTCCATGAGGATGGTATGAGGGCCCGACGTCCACAGGTGGGGGTTGTGCTTACAGCCCAACACCGTGCAGGACGTTTGGCATTTGCCAGAGAACACCAAGATTGGCAAATTCGCCACTGGCGCCCTGTGCTCTTCACAGATGAATGCAGGTTCACACTGAGCACATGTGACAGACGTGATAGAGTCTGGAGACGCCGTGGAGAACGTTCTGCTGCCTGCAACATCCTCCAGCATGACCGGTTTGGCGGTGGGTCAGTCATGGTGTGGGGTGGCATTTCTTTGGGGGGCCGCACAGACCTCCATGTGTCCGCCAGAGGTAGCCTGACTGCCATTAGGTACCGAGATGAGATCCTCAGACCCCTTGTGAGACCATATGCTGGTGCGGTTGGCCCTGGGTTCCTCCTAATGCAAGACAATGCTGGACCTCATGTGGCTGGAGTGTGTCAGCAGTTCCTGCAAGAGGAAGGCATTGATGCTATGGACTGGCCCGCCCGTTCCCCAGACCTGAATCCAATTGAGCACACCTGGGACATCATGTCTCGCTCCATCCACCAACGCCACGTTGCACCACAGACTGTCCAGGAGTTGGCGGATGCTTTAGTCCAGGTCTGGGAGGAGATCCCTCAGGAGACCATCCGTCACCTCATCAGGAGCATGCCCAGGCGTTGTAGGGAGGTCATACAGGCACGTGGAGGCCACACACACTACTGAGCCTCATTTTGACTTGTTTTAAGGACATTACATCAAAGTTGGATCAGCCTGTAGTGTGGTTTTCCACTTTAATTTTGAGGGTGACTCCAAATCCAGACCTTCATGGGTTGATAAATTTGATTTCCATTGATAATTTTTGTGTGATTTTGTTGTCAGCACATTCAACTATGTAAAGAAAAAAGTATTTAATAAGATTATTTCATTCATTCAGATCTAGGATGTGTTATTTTAGTGTTCCCTTAATTTTTTTGAGCAGTGTAGTTACTCCACAATACTAACCTAATTGACAGAGTGAAAAGAAGGAAGAAAAAATATTCCAAAACATGCATCCTGTTTGCAACAAGGCACTAAATAATACTGCAAAAAATGTGGCAAAGCAATTAACTTGTCCTGAATACAAAGTGTTTGGGGCTAATCCAACACAACACATTACTGAGTAACACTCTCCATATTGTCAAGCATAGTGGTGGCTGCATCAAGTTATGGATATGCTTGTAATCGTTAAGGACTGGGGAGTTTTTCAGGATAAAAAAGAAACGGAATTCAGCTATGCACAGGCAAAATGCTAGAGGAAAACCTGATTCAGTCTGCTTTCCACCAGACACTGGGAGATTAATTCACCTTCAGCAGGACAATAACCTAAAACAAAAGGCCAAATCTACACAGGAGTTGCTTACCAAGAAGACAGTGAATGTTCCTGAGTGGCCGAGTTACAATTTTGACTTAAATCTGCTTGAAAATCTATGGTAATACCTGAAAAAGGATGTTTAGAGACTTACCCAGAAAGACTCAAAGCTGTAATTGCTGCCAAAAGTGATTCTAGCATGTACTGGCTCAGGGGGTTGAATACTTATCTAATCAAGATACAGTATATTACTGTTTTATTTGTCATTTTATTTTTTAGAAATGCTAGAATTTTTTTTAACAGAGTATTTTGTGTAGATCATTGACAAGAAATGGCAATTAAATCAATTTTAATCCCACTTTGTAATACAACAAAATGTGGAAAAAGTGAAGGGGTGTGAATACTTTCTGAAGGCACTGTATGTATCAGATAAAAAGGTGCACTAAACGTTTCATATCCAGCATTATGAATAAACCATGAGAGAGTGGTGAGACTCCATAGCCTTAAAGTCCCAACCGTATAGTCAGTATATTCACCCATGTGATTACATGTGTGTGAGGGGAATGTGCACCCACATTTTCTCTATGTCTGAATCTCTTTTACAGAGAGTGAGAGTGAGTGAGACACAGAGAGGGAGGGAGAGAGAGAGATAGGGAGAGAGAGACATAGAGACATAGAGAGAGAACGAGACCGAGAGAGAGAGAGAGGGAGAAAGAGAGGGAGAGAGAGAGAGAGAGAGAGAGAGAGAGATGACAGTCTCTGATGCACATTTACGGTCACACACACACACACGGTCACACACACACCCAAGAACGCACGCACGCACACACATACACACAAACAGACACACACACACGTCTACATTTACATAGAAAGAGACACTTTTGTTTCCCTGGCAATGGCATGGTGGCACTCAGGAATCAATAAGGAATCCTCTCCTACTTGCTTATCAAAATACTGTAGTATACATCAAATCATTAACTATATGATTTAGATCGGAAAGCACATAAATTATTAGAAAAGTAGATAGCTTTTAGAGCATCTGTAGTCATTGATTACAATCTGAAATCAATTATTGTTTTCCTGTATGATTGTTTTATTTTATTGATTAAAAAATCAAACCACACATCTTACAAAAGAAAAGAAAACCGTCAGGGCATTGACATCATAGCACACTGTTTTACAAAATAATTTTCTGTTGGAGGTTCATATCCATCCAACATACACACAGGCGCTTTTACAAAATGTAAATGAATATTGTACTAACATTTTGAGAAAATAAAAACAACACTAATAAATTAGACATCTAATAAATAGTATATATCATTAAATGGTTCATGTTCAAAGCTGAAGTAAGATTGTGTTAATAGTTATCTCAAACAATATTTCTTCAGAGAGTAAATCAGAGAAAATAAAGGCAGGTGTGTTTATTATGCAAAAATAGAAACTACCGATACTAGTCATATTCCTCTTTATAAGTAGTAACTAAAATAAAATATTTTATACATTTGGGTTCTCTACTATCTATTGTATTTACATTAAAAGTATTGTGGCCTCATTCTATGCAGTAATGGATTTATTCAACTGTTTTATGCATACATCATGTGTTAATAAATGTGTTCATAAAATGCCCAAATATAATTGTCAAACTAAACACACAAAGTACATTGCATTTGATTTCAGTCCATAAGTGCATCTTTTGCACTCCATCACAGGGTCGGAGTTCAATCCGGCATATTGCCAAGTCTTTGGTGCCTACATTGATCCTGCCATTTGATGGCTTAGGGCAATTTACAGTCAATGAGGTTACAGTGTTTAACTGACACATTGTTGGGGGAGAAGACAGTACTAAAGAGTCCCATATAATTTCAAAGACACATTCATATATTTTCATGCATGTGAATGCACACAAAGTCATCATGGAATGATTACAATGGATGTTTCTTGTGGAGTTCTGTTTGGATCAAGGTCCATTACAAAAACCATTTAAACCACTTTAAAACCATTTTCACTTTAGACTCGCTGGATTAGCCTATATTTGATTGTAAAACATATTCTGCCTACCTTTTGATTTCTAATAGCATAGATCTGTGAATGTAGGGATAGGTTAGGCTGACCATGTAGTTAAAAACAATAATAATAATAATAATAATAATAATAATAATAATAACAATGACATCTAACCCAGTCTCTTTGCAGTAACATAACGGGGTTCCATATTTTGTAGAATGTTTTGAGCCATGCTCCAACTACTATTATGGAATATTTTTTGTGACAACACAACCAACACTGTGGATGATAAAATGCTTCTAAAAAGACAACTTTCCTCAAAATGCCTTATAACAAGAAAGGAAACCTTCTTGAAGTGGCACAGCAGTCATAGGCAGGAACCTCTACATCAAGAGGTGGTGTCGGCTGAATCAGCCAATTATACAGGGTTGTCAGCTATGTGTCACAAAACATCATTGAACAAGATAGCAGCCCCTACAGTGCTGAACTATGCAAAATAATTGTGGAGTTACAATAACAAAAATCACTACTTTTCTATAAACATAGAACATTAGTTGGGAGTCTGACCCCAAATGGTCTAAAAGCTTGGGAATGAAATATAAAATGTACACATACTTACAGCCCAAAAGTATTCACCCAATGTTTGATGGCATTTTTGTAACAGTGCTTGTAATTCACTAAGAAATAAACCTCATAAAAAACGACTATTCATGATTTCATTTATTTTTCCATAAGAAACAAATATTCCTAAAATAATCAAAAACCTATCTGGACAGAAGTTCAAAAAAAGATTTACATGGCATGCAATGTCTTGAAGGTCTTGATTGTTCCAGTAAATAATGTAGGTCATAAACAGAGAGTCTGTGTAATAAAGACATACATATTGTTATATGTAGCCTCAGACATTCCCTCTGTGGAACAGAATAACCATTAGTTGTGGTTTAGTCCCTCTGGACTGGCAAAGCAAGTGTAGTTGCGGTACAATACAGTAGAAGGCCTTTTATTGAGGACTGCTCCCCCTGTTGGAAAACAGTACAAATGTCATATTTCAATTCCACACCAATTGCTCAAATTTGCTGTGGCTACAGTGTTGCTATACAGTATGCTCTGTCTCATCAAGTATCAAAGGGAACAAAAACACAAATTCTGAACTTTAAAATCATCCCTTACAATGAGAAGTACTGAGACCTGCATAAGGGACATAAGCATGGATATCTAAACCGACAAAATGAGTAAGGCAAGAGAAAATAAAGTAAAGGTTACTTAGCATTTGACGTTGTGTAATTGAAGACCCCCCTTTTCCTTCTTCTAACCATCTACCATTCCAAGCCACCCTCTTCCACCCATGTCCCTGCTCACACCAAGTTTGTGTTGTGATGAGAAGAGAAAGGAGCTAGAGACATTGAGACAGGGGATCGGGAGGGGGGATCGGGGCATCTGTTCTCAGCTTGGTGAAGATGCCTGAAATGTAATGACAACCAGTGTGTCAGTTTAGTAGTTTTCACGCAGTTAGTGAGTAGTCCCCTCAGGTTGGGGTGGTCAGGGAGGGTTCAGGGCCGGGCCTCATCAGGGGGTGTGGAACGAGAGGAGAGGGGAGGGACAGGTGCTCAGAGCTGAGAGTCAGCCCCCAGGCTGTTGAGCTCCTCCGGCGAGTGCTTCTCTCCCCCAGTGCCAGCCGACTGGCGGAACCCGGCCGAGATCTCGTCAAACGTCCGGCCCTTGGTCTCAGGCACCTTGAAGTAGGTGAAGATGAAGAAGCTGAGCAGCAGTATGGTGAAGATGACGAAGACATAAGGGCCACACAACTCCTGTAGGGTGAGAAGGTGTAGAGAAGGAGAGAGAACATTGATGACTCTGTTTATTAAGCAGTGGGCTCCAAACAAACATGTATTCAAACTACCAGTTCACATATATCAAGATTAGTATTTCTACAACATCTACCATGTTGAGCATCTGACTAACAAGGTTGTGCTCAGTGCTTACCTCTACATACTGGAAGGCCATGCCCACTATGAAGTTGGCAGTCCAGTTGGAGAAGCCAGCCACAGCGAAGGCCGAGGGCCGGGGTCCCTGGGAGAACAGCTCAGCCACGATGAACCAGGGGATGGGACCCGGGCCGATCTCAAAGAACGCTACGAAGGCAAATATGGCCACAATACTCACGTAGGACATCCATGGCAGCTGGTCCTGATGGAGGACAAACAGACAGCAGAGGGTTAAACTACTGGTATTCATGCTACATATTATATTAACAAGTGTTTTTCCTCATTCATTCCTTATGAGAGCTGCTAGCATTATGTGAAATGTGTTGTAGTTTGTCTAAGTACCAGCAGAGCCAGAGCGATGGTCATCAGGACGGCAGCGCCTGCCATTCCAATCAGCCCCAGCAGGTGGAGAGACCTGCGTCCAGCGCGCTCCACCACAAACAGCTGAGGAACGGAGATAGGGTTGAGTTGTACTGTCCAAACACAAATGTGGTTCATCATGCATCATGCGCACCAAAAATGACACAAACACACCAGCATCTGCCATAGTTACTCACCGACACCACAGTGAAGGCTGTGTTGACCACGCCGGCACCAATTGTAGCATAAACAGGCTGAGCAACTCCGGCCTTCTCAAAGATACGGGTAGAATAGTAGAAAATCTGGAGGACACCAAAAACACAGTTTAGAGTTAGAAAATAGACATGTTAGCATACGTGTTTGTGTATATGGAGTGTGTGTTTGGGGTGAGAAGTATGAGAGGTGACTCACAGCGTTGATGCCAGACAGCTGCTGGGAGAGCTGGAGCATGATGGCGATGAAGATGGGCTGGCGGTAGAGTGGCGAGCGGAACAGCTCCAGGATGGTCACCTTCTTCTCCCTCATCATCTGCCTGGCCTCCTCCTTCATCTCCTGCATGTCTGCACTCACGTCTGTGGTCCCACGCAGCTTCTTCAGGACTTACAGGGACAGAGAGAGAATAGGAGGCTACATTACAGTCTGGGTTGGGTCACTCGATACCTGGTCAATTCAAACAATTCAGGGGATAAGTTTAAATTCAACTAATGAATTGAAAATGTGCTATTATTTTAGATGAGGAATATTTTCAACTCATTCAAATTGACAGACCTGAAATTGGCTGAACTGATTACATAAAGCGTATGAATGTGTGTTTGTGTGTAAATGTACTCTACTCACCAGTTTTGGCCTTGTTCTCCTCGTTGCGGTTGATGAGGAGGAAGCGGGGGCTCTCGGGGCAGAAGGGCAACAGGGCACACTGCACCAGGGCTGGGATGAAGGTGAAGCCCAGCAGGAAGGGCCACAGATCATTGTTCCCCATTAAGGCATCCATGCCAAACACCTGAACCACAACACATAGTTAGACCACCATCCGATTAAGCCCTCTTGTGCAAACTTCCGCCGTACCTTACTTCATTGTTAACCTAAAGACGTACGAGCTACCAGACCGACCCAGTCTCAGGAATGGCTAACTCTGGAGATCCCTTCGATCTATAATAATAATAATAATAATAATGTATGCCATTTAGCAGACGTTTTTATCCAAATAGACTTACAATCATGCATGCATACATTTTACGTGATCCCAGGAATCAAACCCACTATCCTGGCGTTGCAAGCGCCATGTTCTATCAACTGAGCGGTAAATCTGCTTTTAGGTTTTTTGCACGTTACTTGCGGAATAATCTCCAAAATCGTTAATGTCATGATTTGGTGCTTCTAGGGCAGTTCAGATGGCTGATTGAGGACCTATTTATTGAAACATTTATTTGTTTTCTATGATTGTGTTTTGTATCTCTGTTTTGCTTTCGTAGTGTATTTATGTGTATATTTTTGTAATTACTGGGCTCATCTGTAAATGAGACCTTGGTCTCAGCATGACTCCCTGTCAAAATAAAGGTTAAAAAATAAGATTATGTAGCACAACTCTCATAGAGAACCCTTTGTAAAAGCATACATATCATCCATTATTCTCCATATAATATCCATGTTGCCACTGGCACTGACCTGTGCCATCAGGATGCCCATGACAATGCCCAGCTGGTGGAGGGTACCCAGGGCTCCTCGAAGGGCAGTGGGGGCCACCTCACCCACGTACATGGGTACAAAGCCAGTGGAGAGGCCGGAGTAAAGTCCCACCACGAAGCGCCCGATGATCAGCATCTCCCACGAGCCACCCATCTTAGAGAAGCCCATGAAAGCAGCGGAGACAAAGGCCAGCACGTTGGCCATCAGCATGGAGTTCCTCCTGTAGACATGTCAATTACAGTCCAATTACTGTACAAACCTTTACATGTCACAGATATTATACAGTACATAGGCCATCTATGTAATATCATCTCACATAACACAGTTGTAAATAAACATTGTGAAGTGACGTATTTACCTGCCAAAGCGGTTGACAAACAGGCCCACGGAGAAGGAGCCGAAGATACCACCGACAGAGAAGATGGCGACGGAGACGGACCACAGGGTGGTGAGGGAGGTCTTGGTGATATTCTCATTGTAGCGTTTTCTCCATGTATCGTTGAGGAAGCTCTCAATAACCTAGCAGAGAAGGGAAGAAAACAACGCCAGCTTAAAACAATGCCAAAGAACGAAACGGTGCCAAAGAAAGAAACCACAGTCAAATGTTAATTTGCTTTTTTAACTGAAGAGACAGTAAAAAATAAAGTGTTTCCTTGTCCTCATTGCCATTGGCCCGGGCGGCTGCTATTTTGGTGTCTGGCCAGTAGATGACGGTATAGGATTGGATTTCAGGGCCATGTTTCGTATGAAAACGTTCTGAATGTTGTAGATAGAATGACCACAAATAGAGCCGACATGATTTCTTATTCTACATGTCAGAGATGCATGTTTGTTCTACATTGCATTTTTATATCTGAACGTTCCAAAAAGTTGCGTCCTGCTGAACGCGCCCCTCATTTTCCATCAACAAGGAAGTTTATGAAAGAGCGAGGTGTTGGGTTTCAGCCCCTTCCCCCACAGTGACTTATCAGTGTTGCCAAACATACATAAGTCCGCCCAGCGTGTGATGGAAGTTAAGTAGTACAGGCTGGGAGGAATGTGCCCTCTATCTAGCACCTCTAGTACTGCCTCCTCCTGTCCTCCCCTCCCAAATATCACTGCTGGCTCCTGTCATGTGCTTTGCTGATAGATTATACAATATACTTTTTTTACAGATACTTACATAACGCTGAGTGATTCATATAGAACTGCTAATGTATGTTTAAGTCAGCTGAGGGGTAGGCTGTTCAAGATATGACATAGGGTCTGGCATAAATTATACAGACCCAGAAAGTTATCCTAATTATTCTGCAAAAAAGTGATGACAAATCTAATATAGCCTAGCCTAGTCAGCCTAACACTGTTAATAGTGTTCAATAAAATAAATTCTTACAGATAGAGAATGGCTGTCCTTGATTTCATATCCTTGATTTGCTCTGAATAGGCTGGTGTCTGACCCAAGACCTAGCAAGCACCTGGACACAATGAAATACACTGTTCATTCATGACCGGTGACCCTGTTCTGATTAAAGTGTTACTGTCTCTGTGGACTCTTGGCTGGGCAGGCGGTCAGGTCTGTCTGTGTTACAAGGTGCCCAATTTGGAGCGGGAAGAGAGGTAAGAGGACAAACAGGCCAGCAGCCCAGGGCCCTTGAGAGACACCTAATCTAATCAGTGCTGCACTCTTTAGAGTGGAGGGCCTGCGTCACAACAACCAGCAACGCTCCATCCCTAATCATAGAGAAAGAGAGAGAGGGAGTGAGGGCGAGGTGGGTTGGGGATAATCTAGGGTCTCCATATACAGTAGTAATGCTGTTATCACATTTATCCTGAATCTGGATGTGTCTCTATGCTCAGCAACGCTATCGTTTCTGTGAAGACTTCCCTGCACTCTGTATGTTGCTACTAAACAGCTGTGGCATTGTGTGGTATTACTGAGCATGTGTCAGTGTGCTTTCAGTATTAGTGTTTTATTTTTCATATTTTTTTTTTACAAATGTTAGAATTTTTCTTCCACTGACATTACAGAGTATTTTGTGTAGATTGTTGACAACAAATGGCAATTAAATCGATTTTAATCTCACTTTGTAACACAACAAAATGTGGAAAAAGTAAAGGGCTGTGAATACTTTCTGAAGGCACTGTATGAAGTATCAATATCAGTAGTACTATAAAATAAAGTAAAACCGTGCTGGATCACAGACATTTACATCATTACATTTTAGTCATTTAGCAGACGCTCTTATCCAGAGCGACTTACAGGAGCAATTAGGGTTAAGTGCCTTGCTCAAGGGCACATTTACGTCATTTAGCAGACGCTCTTATCCAGAGCGACTCACCAATTGGTGCGTTCACCCTATAGCCAGTGGGATAACCACTTTACAATTTACAACTTTACAATTTACAACAGACAACAATGGCAGCGCAAGGTAGCCATCAGGACATTCATTTTTATAAGCAAATTCATACTTTCTCATCTTTTGTTTGCTAGTCGTTCGATTGGTTTGATATTTATGGACGTGACCCAGTCGTTCGTTCTTTATGTTCTGTTGCCATGCTCAGTGGCAACGTTCTTATCCCTTGCTTGCTAGCTAGCCAACTAGCTATGGCTAACACAGTCACGACCTCTGCAGCCAGAATAACAGCAAAGTAGCTGGCAGGGATGTCCTTGTCCCATCACGCACTAGCGACTCCTGTGGCGGGCCGGGCGCAGTGCACGCTGACTCAGTCGCCAGGTGTACGGTATTTCCTCCGGCACATTGGTGCGGCTGGCTTCCGGGTTGAGCAGGCACTGTATCAAAAAGCAGTGTGGCTAGTTTGGGTTGTGTTTCGGAGGACACACGACTCTCGACCTTTGCCTCTCCTGTGTCCGTACGGGAGTTGTAGCGATGGGACAAGACTGTAACTACCAATTGGATACCACAAAATTGGGGAGAAAAAGGGGGTAAAATACCAAAAACATTTTTCCTGATATCTTTTCAAACTTTTCCTGTTACCTGTTTGTGTCCATTCTAGAATGCCCTTCTAGCCAATCAGAAACAAGTATTCAACAATGCTGTGGTATAACAGCTGATAATATCAGTAAAACCGATATATCGGTCGGGCTCTAGTATCCGGGCAACAAGGCACCTGGAACTTTGAGCCGAGCTGAGCGCCAGAAGGTTTGTTCATACAAAGAGCATTACTGTGTCTGGCTCAGCCCTTTTACCTAAATTAAGAGATTCTTATAGACCACATGACCTAACATCCCCAGGCTGTTGTGAGCTTTCAGTAAACAAAACAATTCTGTAGAGTTAGCACCTACAGTAAAAAGCTGTCCAGGGGACACACTTACAGTGGGGAAAAAAAGTATTTAGTCAGCCACCAATTGTGCAAGTTCTCCCACTTAAAAAGATGAGAGAGGCCTGTAATTTTCATCATAGGTACACGTCAACTATGACAGACAAATTGAGAAAGAAAATTCCAGAAAATCACATTGTAGGATTTTTTATTAATTTATTTGCAAATTATGGTGGAAAATAAGTATTTGGTCACCTACAAACAAGCAAGATTTCTGGCTCTCACAGACCTGTAACTTTTTCTTTAAGAGGCTCCTCTGTCCTCCACTCGTTACCTGTATTAATGGCACCTGTTTGAACTTGTTATCAGTATAAAAGACACCTGTCCACAACCTCAAACAGTCACACTCCAAACTCCACTATGGCCAAGACCAAAGAGCTGTCAAAGGACACCAGAAACTAAATTGTAGACCTGCACCAGGCTGGGAAGACTGAATCTGCAATAGGTAAGCAGCTTGGTTTGAAGAAATCAACTGTGGGAGCAATTATTAGGAAATGGAAGACATACAAGACCACTGATAATCTCCCTCGATCTGGGGCTCCACGCAAGATCTCACCCCGTGGGGTCAAAATGATCACAAGAATGGTGAGCAAAAATCCCAGAACCACACGAGGGGACCTAGTGAATGACCTGCAGAGAGCTGGGACCAAAGTAACAAAGCCTACCATCAGTAACACACTACGCCGCCAGGGACTCAAATCCTGCAGTGCGAGACGTGTCCCCCTGCTTAAGCCAGTACATGTCCAGGCCCGTCTGAAGTGTTCTAAAATGCATTTGGATGATCCAGAAGAGGATTGGGAGAATTTCAGATGAAACCAAAATATAACTTTTTGGTAAAAACTCAACTCGTCGTGTTTGGAGGACAAAGAATGCTGAGTTGCATCCAAAGAACACCATACCTACTGTGAAGCATGGGGGTGGAAACATCATGCTTTGGAGCTGTTTTTCTGCAAAGGGACCAGGATGACTGATCCGTGTAAAGGAAAGAATGAATGGGGCCATGTATCGTGAGATTTTGAGTGAAAACCTCCTTCCATCAGCAAGGGCATTGAAGATGAAACGTGGCTGGGTCTTTCAGCATGACAATGATCCCAAACACACCGCCCGGGCAACGAAGGAGTGGCTTCGTAAGAAGCATTTCAAGGTCCTGGAGTGGCCTAGCCAGTCTCCAGATCTCAACCCCATAGAAAATCTTTGGAGGGAGTTGAAAGTCTGTGTTGCCCAGCGACAGCCCCAAAACATCACTGCTCTAGAGGAGATCTGCATGGAGGAATGGGCCAAAATACCAGCAACAGTGTGTGAAAACCTTGTGAAGACTTACAGAAAACGTTTGAACTGTGTCATTGCCAACAAAGGGTATATAACAAAGTATTGAGAAACTTTTGTTATTGACCAAATACTTATTTTCCACCATAATTTGCAAATAAATTCATTAAAAATCCTACAATGTGATTTTTCAGGATTTTTTTTCTCATTTTGTCTGTCATAGTTGACGTGTACCTATGATGAAAATTACAGGCCTCTCTCATCTTTTTAAGTGGGAGAACTTGCACAATTGGTGGCTGACTAAATACTTTTTTCCCCACTGTATATGTGCAACAGTTTGAAGGAGTAGGGTCAAAGAAACTCATTTTGTTTAAGTTAATGGAAAATAGGTTAATTTAATTGATGGAGTCAGATCTCACTGAGAGCTCCTAAATTATGTTCCCTTTAACGGAGTGAGTAGCACTCTCCTGGGTGTCTCTTTACCTACAGTCCAGCAGGCTGAGCCCTTTTGGGGCATGGAAACACTCCTTTACACATGAATCACGTCACAGAGGTCCTCTAATAGACAGTGCCTTGGACGAGATAGGCCTACATCGAGTTATTATTAGCCCCCTTCTTTTCAGGTGTTGCAGGGAACATCTTGACTGGCCTAGACTGGCACAGGGGCAGGGGCAGGGGCAGGGGGACGATTCAAAAACGGTGTCGGTGGGATAACTATAGACAAGCCTTCCCCACCCGATTCTGATCAGACACATCAGCCCCACCTCCCCACCCAATCTCATCCCTGTGGACTCACCTTCTGAGGGGCGTTGATGACACCGGTGTTGTAACCGAACTGCAGCGAGCCAATCACCGCTGCTCCCACCGTCAGCATCAACTGGAAGGTTACTTGCTGAAATGAGACAGGAGAGAGAGTCAGTTAGAAATCACCTCTCTTCCAAATCTTGAAGGTACTTGGAGTTGACAGACTTATTGTCTTATGATAACATAAGATAAGTTATCCCGTTGATGCCATTCCATATAGGACTTGGCTAGATAGGCCTTTAGGCATATTTTGAGTGAGAACCTCCTTGGCACAGTACTGTAAGGGTTAATCAACTTAGTTTTACAATATCCATTGACTTCATCCTGTTCTACTAGTTAGACAAGTAATTTCACTATGAACACCCTGAAGATTGCAAAATGTCCTGATTCTCCTGATTCATGTCCTTTGCATTGACCACTCAAATGAATGTGGCCCTGGTAATGTTTTAGTTTCTAAATGCGTTTCTTCCTCCAAAATGTAAAAAAACTTGCCTAACTTGAGCTGCAGTTTCGTAGAATGGGCTAGAATCCTACATTGTGCAATAGGTGGTTGTACTGCCCCAAATGTGTGTGATAGTGACCCAACTTGCAAGAAGGCAACCTAGCCTCAGGCCAAGAAGATAGGAGGGAGGAGTTAATCCTCAAACTGTCCACCTCAGGTGGTTGACTGTAAATATGGTGCATTAGGACCATGTGTCGGCACCCAGCCCTCTCAGGGGAGCGGTGGTCTAGCCCCCGGCATTGTTCTTGTTCTTGTTCCTGTTAGTTCTAAAATCTTTTGATGGGCTTAATCCCAGTGGAGCCCCAAGGCAGGCAGAGATTGTCCTCATGCAATCAAGTTAACACTCACACACAATCCTTTTCAGATGAGCCATTATGCCACTTTCACATTTCATGTAGTGCGTGTCTGTGACTAAGTCAGTATTGTAGGCATATTGGGGTTTACACTACCCATGAGTTGTTTTTTTGAGTTGGTTACAATCGTGTGGAGAAGAGGTATGTGGGTTACTGGTAATGGGAGTTTTCCACTGTTTGGGAGTTGTCTGTATCTGTGGTGATGTTTTGATAGTGACATGGCTGTTCTGAAGTTAGAGTTAGCCTTAGTGCTTCACACCAGTTGCTATGGAAGCTGAGATCCTCTTTCTTACTCATGTTGTGACTATATTGGGATTCCAAACTTAAAGCAAGTGTAGTTATGACTAGGTCCCACATGTCTGTAAAATGTGTGTGAAAGTGAACCATCCCAAATCTCAGATTTCCGCAAGGAAAAATATAAGCCATGACCATTGTTACAAAATGTACTCAACTATATAAACTAAGATAATGAACTTGCGTGATTTCAGAATTGTGTCATTGGTTGTTATAGCCTACATGTGTTTCTTATTCATGGCATAATATTTTTGTGAATTCTGAGATTCTTGCCTGAGGGTATGAAGAGGGTAGGGAGCTAGAATGTTTGTAAAACACTCACTGCACAGCAAGCTCAGTGTAGCTCAGTAAGAGACCCAAAAAAGGGCAGGCCTGAAAGTTTTGTGGGCCCACCCCACAGTAGCAGGTTGACCAATAAGGTTCCACACAAGCGATGAGTCGCTGGGGTTCAACGAGTGCATCACTGGGTTGTTATAACCAGCCTCAGTACAGGATGTGAACATTCACCACACACAAACACACACACGTTCAGGAATCCAGAAGTTTGAAAGCTGTTGGCTAGGATCTTAAAGGAGCCATGCTTCCTTTCAGTGAACCAGTTATGTCATTCTTATAGACAATACCTCACTTTTGTAAAAACACCAATTTCCAAATTAACAAGAGACACAGTAATCTTCATTCAACACATTACATTTACATTTACGTCATTTAGCAGACGCTCTTATCCAGAGCGACTTACAGTTAGCGCATACATTATTTTATCGAACCCACAACCCTGGCGTTGCAAACGCCATGCTCTACCAACTGAGCTACCACACTCATAGGCTACCTCCCTCTTGTTCACTCAAAAGATGTGCAGGTTTTAAATGGCCACTGTTTGAGTGAGATTGGGACCCTTTAACACAGCCAAACTTGTTTGCAAATACTCCCGAAATATGGAACTTCACTGGAGTGTGTTTGGATGTGTGTGTGTGTGTGTGTGTGTATGTGAGGAACTATGAAACACTCCTCTGTGACATTGCGTTTAACCTACATACCAGTGTGTAGAGGGAGACATTGCCTAGGGCTGTTACGGTGACCGTATTACCGCCACACCGGCGGTCACGAGTCATGAAGGCAGTCAAATTCCACATGACCGTTTAGTCATGGTAATTAGGCTTCTCCAAGTTCTGATGCTGCTGGTCATTAGTAGCCTACCAAACTTGCTAACTGCCTGGTACTCAGCACTCTATTGTCCCTCTAATCACTCTGACATCAATGTAAATGTATTTGAAAATCTAATCAAACACTTCATGAGAGGCCATGAGCTCATGTTGCGCAACATTTCTATAGGCTATGCAATTGCGGGAGAAAACAGAGTGATGGCCTCTAATAAAAAGAGGAGGATAACATCAGCTTTCTATAGGCAATGACCTACTCTATTTATTTATCTACTTTCCTAATATTAAGCACATTGCTTATATTTACAACAGGAGTTAAAAATCCTCCATTCGCTATTTAAGTGCATAAACAACATGTATTTTTTCCCGCTGCCCCTGTTTCGATACAGGTGCATGATAATGGTCCATTCTAAATCAAAACAAATGTCACACATATATTATTTAGTCTATGTAAAGACAAGATTAAATCAAGAATATTCTAATGGGTGACAATATTAACCTATCACTTGTGAATGATATATTATCACTTGTGAATGATGCACAGCATAAGAAACAATGCCTTTTTTTTGCGACTTGTTCGAATCATAGTCACACACCTCATGTCTGTCACGATCGTCAAAAGGAGGAGACCAAAGCGCAGCGTGTTGAGCGAACATCGTAGACTTTATTATAAAGAAACCACGATCAAAACAACAAACCAAATATGACGAACGTGAAGTTCAATACTAACAAAGACTAACAGCATCAAGGAAACAAAAACCCACAAAACCAAGGTGAAACCACACAGTATAAATATGGCTCCCAATCAGAGATAACGAGCCGACAGCTGACACTCGTTACCTCCGATTGGGAGTCATATGACTAAATCAACATGAAAACCAAACATAGAAATGAAACAACTAGATCCCACATAGAACTACACCCAAACAAAAATGACAACCCTGGCTCACTACTAAGAGTCCCGGAGCCAGAACGTCACAGTACCCCCCCCCTAAAGGCGCGGACTGCGACCGCGCCTCACAACCCCACAATAGGGGAGGGCTGGGTGGGTGTTGCTCCCCGGAGGCGGTTCCGGCTCCGGGCTTGACCACCACCCCACTATAGTTACTACCCGCTTTCTTAACCTCCTCCCAATGACCACCCTCCACTTAAACCCACCTGGATTAAGGGGCAGCACCGGACTAAGAGGCAGCACCAGGCTGAGGGACAGCACCGGACTAAGGGGCAGCACTGGACTAAGGGGCAGCACTGGACTAAGGGGCAGCACCTGACTAAATGGCGGATCCTGGCTGGCTGGCTCTGGCGGATCCTGGCTGGACGGCTCTGGCGGATCCTGGCTGGACGGCTCTGGCGGATCCTGGCTGGACGGCTCATGGCTGGCTGACGGATCTGGCTGCTCATGGCTGGCTGACGGATCTGGCTGCTCATGGCTGGCTGACGGATCTGGCTGCTCATGGCTGGCGGAAGGCTCTGGCTGATCCCGTCTGGCGGAAGGCTCTGGCTGCTCCTGTCTGGCGGAAGGCTCTGGCTGATCCGGTCTGACGGAAGGCTCTGGCTGCTCCTGTCTGGCGGAAGGCTCTGGCTGATCCTGTCTGGCGGAAGGCTCTGGCTGATCCTGTCTGGCGGAAGGCTCTGGCTGATCCTGTCTGGCGGAAGGCTCTGGCTGATCCTGTCTGGCGGAGAGCTCTAGCGGCTCCGGTCTGGCGGATGGCTCTGAAGGCTCATGGCAGACGGGCGGCTTTGCAGGCTCAGTACAGACGGGCAGTTCAGACGGCGTTGGGCAGACGGACAGTTCAGACGGCGTTGGGCAGACGGGCAGTTCAGGCGCCGTTGGGCAGACGGGCAGTTCAGACGGCGTTGGGCAGACGGACAGTTCAGGCGCCGTTGGGCAGACGGGCAGTTCAGACGGCGTTGGGCAGACGGACAGTTCAGGCCCCGTTGGGCAGACGGCAGACTCTGGCCGTCTGAGGCGCACCGTAGGCCTGGTGCGTGGTGCCGGAACTGGAGGTACCGGGCTGAGGACACGCATCTCAGGGCTAGTGCGGGGAGAAGCAACAGGGCATGCTTGGCCCTGGGGACGCACCATAGGCCTGATGCGTGGTGCCGGAACTGGAGGTACCGGGCTGAGGACACGCATCTCAGGGCTAGTGCGGGGAGAAGCAACAGGGCATGCTTGGCCCTGGGGACGCACCGTAGGCCTGATGCGTGGTGCCGGAACTGGAGGTACCGGGCTGAAGACACGCATCTCAGGGCTAGTGCGGGAAGCAGCAACAGGGCATACTGGACCCTGGGGACGCACCGTAGGCCTGATGCGTGGTGCCGGAACTGGAGGTACCGGGCTGAGGACACGCATCTCAGGGCTAGTGCGGGGAGCAGGAACAGGGCATACTGGACCCTGGGGACGCACCGTATCCCTGGTGCGTGGAGTAGGAACAGGCCGGGCTGGGCTGGCGAAGCGCACCGTATCCCTGGTGCGTGGAGTAGGAACAGGCCGGGCTGGGCTGGCGACGCGCACCGTATCCCTGGTGCGAGTGGCCGGAACAGGCCGGGCCGGGCTGGCGAAGCGCACCGTATCCCTGGTGCGTGGAGTAGGAACAGGCCGGGCTGAGCTGGCGACGCGCACCGTATCCCTGGTGCGAGTGGCCGGAACAGGCCGGGCCGGGCTGGCGAAGCGCACCGTATCCCTGGTGCGAGTGGCCGGAACAGGCCGGGCTGGGCTGGCGACGCGCACCGTAGGCTTCGTATGAGGCTCAGGAACAGGCCGGGCTGGGCTGGCGACGC